GGGGGGGGGGGGTTAGGGGGATAGGAATCATCAATTTTACGAACGGAGAACTGTAAGTATCCAAATCGGAGTAGTGACTTCCGTGGCCACTAAAAAGCTGTGGCCAGGCCTGTATTTAAATAACAACTACATTCTTAAAAGTTAGAATTTATGAAAACTTATAAATTTGTTTTACATCTCAATTGAGTCAATCATATAAAAAAAATTGAACCGCTGAACCAGCCCAGAACTGATCTTGGAACCGCCGGTTCTGGAGCTGGTTATGGAACCGGGACATCCGACACCGGTAACGATCACATTTGGTGGCGGTAACAGAACCAGAATCGTACCAAAATCTTGTCGTGTGACCTAAAAGACTATTTATGGAACAATTTATAAAAATGAAAGACTAGTATCTTAAAATTGAGGACTAAATAAAAAAACTCACTAATTATTTTAATCACCTTTTATTAAAATGATACAAAATTAGGACTTGTTCTCTTTACATGATATGAAAGACTAGTATCTTCAAAGTTGTTTCCAAATTGATATTATCTGATTCTAACACAAATAAGTAATAAATAATAAGAATAAGTTGAAGGTTACAAGCTCTTAGGGCCCGTTTAGTGGGCGTAGAACTGTAGAAGATATGAGTTTTCATATCTCTTGATATCAAGTTTCTTTTTTGAGTTTGATGTGATATAAAAATAATTTAAATTCGATATCATCAAATATCACAAATCTTCAAAATAAAGAGTTTAGATATCTTTATGTTGAGATTTGATCTCTATCAAGCTGTCACCGACTACCATTACAACCACCAACCCTATTAATAGCTAATTAAATCATAATTTTAAATTTTTTCAAAGTATTTGATTTTAAGTTTCAAAAATAATTTTCGCTTGTCATACATTTCAAAATCCGTTCAAGGGTACGGTGGAGAAAATCAAATTTTTAACGCTTGTGGAATGGCGCCCCCAGGGAGGACGAAGATTCCGAATATATTTTCCCCAAGATTTCCCGTTGGCCATGGCCTCATCGTCCGCCGCCGCTCTTGAGGTTATCGACGACGACGATGTAAACTGTTTCTTGAAATCCTCATTCTTTCTTCTCCAAACACTTCAATTTCTATCTCTAAATCTTACTTTTTCATTATTCAGGAATTTGACTGGGACGCAGCTGTGAGAGAGATCGATGTGGCTTGTGAAGCCAATGGCGTCGCCCTTCCGGTCAATGGGACATTCGCTTCGTCTTCTGATGGAGTTGCGACTTCGACTTCCATCCCAAATAGGAAAACGCTCAAAACCCCTAATGGTGGTGGCCTTGCGTCTGGGAAGCAGTCGACTCTTGATATGTTTATGGGATTTCCGCCTAAGGCTAAGAATGCCGAAACCGAACCCCACAATCCAAACGGCGTTGGAGTCAGAAAAGAGGAGTTTGGTAATGAGGGGGATGACAGGGTTTGCTTCGTTC